TTAATTCTTTTGAATTATAACTTCATTTTGTTTTCTTTTTCTGACTTTTTCATTCCTTTCATTTATTTTTATTTTTAAAACTTCAGTGCTTTTTAACCTTTCATTTTTTTAAAAAAATAAAATTCTATAGCTATTTTTCTAGTTTCTTTTAAAACAAATAGCCATCAAAGTGTATTAGGATAAACACATGCTTTTTTTATATATTAATCTCGAGTAGAGAAAAAAAAACATAATCTAGTAAAAGCGAATATATATATATATATATATATATATATATATATATATATATATATATATTCATATTCATATGATATTAGCTAGAAATATAGATGAGTGCAATGAAGTACAGACACTTGTAAAAATAGGGAGAGTCGTGTCCGACACGCTCCGACACGGTGTCAGACACGCGGTCAACTTTTTCCGACACGTTGATCATGTGACCGTGTCCGACACGGTCAAATGGCATTTTCGTAATTTTTTTAAAAAAAATTTTAAAAAAAATTAAAATATATTAATAAAGATTCCACCTGATCATATCAATTTTATTTTTTTGTTTTTTTTATCCTTAAGTAGATAAGAGATCATCTCAGCATCATTGTTGTCAATTCCTATCACGCTCTTGTTGTATCTCCTTGTCTCTGATCTCTCTCTAATATGATTTGATCTCTCTGTCTGATATTATCTCTCTCTCTCATCCCAGTTCTTATTTTTTTTATTAAAGCTTCCATCTTTATAACGTACGTGTTGATGGGTATTATTAATTTAGTTTCATTTTTTTGTTAAATTATTAAATATTAGAAATATACACTATATAAATTAAAAATATTATTTAATATTAAAACGTGTCCCAACGTGTCGAAATCCATAATTTTTTAGGATTGACGTGTCGGAGTGTCGTGTCGTGTAATGTCACGTGTCGCGTGTCGTATCGGTGCTACATAGAATGAGTGAAATGAATTTTGAAATAAAATCTTATTGATTCCTTTTAATTGAAAATCATTTTCTATTTCTAATTTATATGATTTCATAATAAAGTTATCTTAATTAAGATGTTTTTAATAACACTATCAATTATTAATTATTAAATGTTTTGTTCTCTACAATGTAATATATACTGCTAAAATAGTTAATAAACTTCAACGTTTGAGTGTCTTTTAACCAGTGACAAACTACCAGCTTATAAAAGAGGAACCAACGTGAGGTCGTTTGGTTTAGCTTTTTTTAAAAGTAACTTTTACTACTTTTTTATTTTAAAAGTACTTTTTACAAAAGTTAAAGTTATTTATATTTTTAAAAAAATATTTAGTTTTTTAAAAAAATATTTGACTTTTGACTTCTGCTTTTCTGAGAAGTTAAAAATTTAAGCTTATGAGAAAAGTAAGTTTTTGGCTTTTTTTGTGACTTCTCCTTTTTTTAAAAGCAGACATCCAATCGAACTAAAAACGAAAAGTACTTTTTTTCTTGAAAAAAAGCAGTTTTTGAAGAAGAAAAAAGCTCATCCAAACGGGCCTAGTAATCGTTATACGACTAGTATTTTAACCCGTGTGATGCATGAGGTTATGATTAAATAATTTTTATTACATGTTGATATGAATATTATACATTAAAGATTGTAAAATACATAAAAATAAATTTTGAAGGAAATATGAATGTAATAGATGTTACTAAATTTAAATAGAAGAATAAAAATTCAACTATTAAAGTTCAAATTTTTTGATACACTTCTTGGTAAACAACATTGTTACTTTTTTTTTACATGGATTTCCATTTTTATCTAAAATTAAAATCTTCAAATCATTCATAGATTTTACCCTAGATACAACAACATATAGCTGTCCATGAGTAAAAACAGGCTTCAGTAAGAATAGTCTCACATAAGAAAGAGATTGACCCTGAATCTTATTAATGATCATGGCAAAGCATAGACTAATTGGAAATCTCCTTCTTTCGAATTTCAGAGGAATGTCAGGATATGATGAAATCATATTCATTCGTGGAATGTAAATTTTATGACCAATATAATTTCCTGTAACAATAGTTGCACCAATGATGTTATCACTATTGCACAAGTCAGAAGATTGGTCTATATTCCTTAGAAACATAATAGGAACTCCTTTTTTCCAAAGTGATTTTATAATTAGAAAATCCATAACACTTAATTTCATTTAAAAACTCTGTAGTGAACCAATCAGGTTCAATCCCAACATCTTTGTCTGCTATGTAATATGAGTCAAAAATCAAATATTTTTTCTCTTCATCGGAGACTTGAGAAATGATAAATTCATTCACCTTCTCAACTGCTTCAAGAGTGGGAGTCAATATGGCTCTTTCTTCCAAGAACTTGACATCCTTTATGTTCTGTAGAAAATTTGGATAAGTGAACTGAACGATACTAGCAAGAGGTTTGGTTAAATTCAAAATTAAAAGATCTTCTGGGATTTCTACTTGAGCAACACCATCAGTATCTATGCTAACTTATGCATCATTGATTATCCAATCTGCGAAATCTTTCATGAATTGATATTTTGTTGTCGCTGCTATTTGCAATCTCATGTTTTTGGTCAATGTAAGCACCTTACAGTGAAACCACAACTTTAATGAATTGATTGTTGCAGAAACAATGTCCTCCTAGTTGCTTTTGGAATAACTGGTAATATTTGACGAAAGTCTTCTCCAAGAACAATACATTTGCCTCCAAATGGTCTCTCTTCAGAATAAGAGTTAGTAAACCTCATGATGTCCTTAAGTGAAGGATCGAGAGCCTCAAAAGCCAGTTTATTAATCATGCATGCTTCATCTTATATAATTAGACTAGTTTGTTGAAACTTTTCCTTTAAACTCCCTTGTTTAATATTGCATGTCGATAACTCATCAATTTTTAATGGAATTGAGAATCTAGAATATGTTGTCCTACCCCCTAGCAAAAGCAAGGAAACAATCCACTTGAAGCAACATTGAGGACTATTTTACCTTGACACCGAATAACTATTGACAGAGTTTTCCAAATAAAAGTTTTCTCAGTCACTGTAGCCATATACAAAAAAGAACTTACCTGTGTTATGTTGTACAACATGAATTATTTGATCAAAAAAATTTCTTTGGTCTTCATTCATTATGGATAAGAATGTCTTTAGATCCGAAGTCATTTGTTGGCGATCGTAGTTCAATTTGTCAACTAAGAAGTGATTCTCGAATTCATTAAGCTGACAATCATGTGGGAATGACATGAATGAAATTCTTTCAAAGATCTTCCATTTGAATTGAACAATCTCTCTATTTCAATCAAAAAGAGAATTTTTAAGTCTGAAGTAGCAATCAAAAGATCTACAGCGAAAAAGGAAGCAATATCATTATCTATTTGATGAGACTGTTGTCTATTAAAAAAAACTATCTAAAGAAGTTATTTAAATTTGCGTACCTTGATTTTGTAAAAATCTCCTTCGGTCGTACAATATTTCATCTACCAAGTATTCTCATGTTTGTTCCCAAACACGTTATGGTCTACTCATTGTGTTTGACACAAGTAACATAACAAATAGCTTTCTCAATTGATTTCCAGATGCCAATTTTGTATCTTTTTTTATTTCCAACAATCCCAGAGCATAGCATGCTTCTTGAAACGAGTTGTGCCTGAAGTTATTAACCGCTCGTATATCCTCGAAAGTTGCACAACCTCGTTGAACAGTCAACAAAAGTCTTATATGGTACAACTCGTTAGATCCTGCAGGAATATATTGTAATCTCCCTATTGAGTGGCCTTGCTTTCTAGGACGTCATTCATGCTTCTCCCTATTGTAAACGAATTTGTTGGGGAATTATGCATAGGTTAATTCTTTTTCATCAAAGTATAATTTGTTTGCTTCCATCCAATTGGGCATTAGATGTATGTGAAACAATTGTTTAAAGAGAAATAATTTTTTATGAGTATAGAGGGATATAAATTTTTTATTGTAGAGTATAAATTTTAAATGAAATAATTTCATTGAAGGAAAGAACAAATGATGCAAAATTGTTGAGAGAAATGTTGTTCGCAAAAGACCAGAATCACCTGAATTGTGTGGGTTTTCAATTCTTGTTTTCTACACGGTTGAAGCTTTCTTTCAATTTTTGTTTGTTTTAAGCCAGAAGTCACAGATGACATTTTAATATCATATCCGAGTAAATTGCATAACGTATTCGAAATCCAAAAGGTTAGAATACGATTCGTATGAAGGAAGAAAATAACAGCAATTGTTGGGGCCCCAAACTCAACAGGGAAAAAGTTAAGGTTAATGGCTTAAAATCCGCTCCAGACCTTCTCAAATGAGCTTTTCGCTGGAATATAGCGATACTAATTAATGTGAATTACGCAGAAGCCATCGATCAACAATGAACTGGCGCTATGGTAAATTGACAATGACCAATCAAAATGTATGGTACCATTCACACTTTACATATGAAAGCCAAGCCAAGCCATGTACTGTTTAAGAGCACTGGCCACAACATAAGAAACTCCAGTGCACCTCATCAGTGAATTGGGATAAATTCAAACTCCTATTTTCATACATAAATGTTACAATTAATTATTTCATCCATTAGGGTGTATATATATATATATATATATATATATATATATGAAGGAATTTGCAGACAGAAAAATAGAGAAAATTGCTCAGTTTACGTAAAAATTATCTACTTAATTTCTTTTAAATTAAGAGAAATAAAATAAATTATATCATTATTGCCAAAAAAGGAAATTATCATGTAATATTTTAATCATTCTTTATTATTTTTTAAAGTTATTTACAATTTCTTAAATTTAATTAAGTAAAACAAAACAAAATAAATATCTGAATGTGTGTGTGTATAATTACTACATATATCAACTTCGCATCCTTAAGCATATATACTATAGATTGATCATCATGCATGCTATTACTAGCTATAAACAAGCTAGCTTAATGTTTTTTCCAATATATATATATATATACTTGGATGAAACACAGTGATAATTCCTTTCGCTTCTTATAATCAGTTCCAGTCCCAGCAGATTTCAGAATGTCCTAAAGAATGTCTCGTCCACCTTTTTTTTTTTCCCTGGGTCAATGTGTCCCCTATTAATGCACATTAGCGCATATATGAAACATCAATCAATCGAAAAAACGAAAAAAAAAAAAAAAAAAAAAAAGACTGTAACGGATTATAAAAAGCCAAATCCACCACACGGAACAGAAATATTATTCTAATTAATTAATTGCTCAAGCTGTCGGTGCTCACTAAAGTCTAAATATACATTCAATTTATATATATAAAAATGCCCTCCCACCACCAAATTAAAACAAAAGAAAGGAAAAATAGTGAAACTTATTATATGTCACGGAAAATGGACAAAATAATGAATTATAACTAATCATAATCCAAAGGAGGTACTTCAAAAGTTGTCTAATTACCTTCATGATCAACATGCATACTAAATCAAACCACTAGACCCCGCTTGAGAAGACTCAACTTGGGCTTGATCTGATGGCACTTTCCCAGAATTTGTGGTTGGATTCAAGTGATTTCCTTGCATTTCAGATTGTGGAACAAGTTTTCCTTGACTATACAAGAAATTCAGTTGATGGAAATAAGGACATGTCCTAGAATCAAGGGACCTTTTCTTATTAACATCCTTGGTTTTTCTAAAGTACTTGTTTATGTTCTCCCATTTTTCCTTGCACCTCTTTGAACTTCTCTTGTATCCCAGCTCTGACATCCCTTGTGAGATTCTCTCCCACAGAGGAGCCTTGTTGTTTCCTTCCTTGTCTTCATTGTTGTTATTTAAACTTGTGCACCTGAGGTTTATTAGTGCTAACACTTCATCTCTTGGCCATCTTCTCCCAACATACTCTTTTTCAGTGGTGGACAAAGGGGTTGAAGGGACTTTATATTTCGAAACTGAATTTGACTCTAGTGGATTATTCAGGCTGTTGAGAGAGGAACTAGGGTTGTGTGGAGCTGGAGATGAATTGGAAGAAGAAGGAACTTGTACTAATGTGTCACTTGAGCTAGGGTTTTCTGCTAAGAGTGTACACAATATTGTAATAGGCAAAGCCGAATTGTTCTGTGTAGGAGAAGTACCAATCATAGTTTGATGATTTAGAATCATATTAGAAGGTGTTGGCTCAAAATTGTTCTGTTCAGTAGAAGTATTAGGGTTTTGAGAATGCAATGGGGAAGAAGAATAATTGGAACCATTTTCATATTTCTTTAAGAATTCAATTATGGTGGCTTGTCTATCACCTGCAATAGCTTGTTCTTGTGCCATAATCTCAAGCTCCTTGTTCATCCTATCCATCTCTTGCTTCTTCCATGATTCCTCTCTTGCAAACTTCTCTTCATCTCTTTTCAACATGTCTTCTAGGAGCTTATTGTGAATATCTTCTTGTTGAGCCATCATCTTGTTCACCACACCGTGACAAAAACCCTTGAACATTTCAAACCTATCACTACGCCTCTTCCTCTTTCGGTCCTTTGACTTTTCCACAAACTTGTCAATTCCATCACAATGTTGCTTTGTCGCTGGTGCGTCAACATCTCTCGAATAATTTTCTTCCATTGCATGGCCCATTGGCTTTTCAAGTTGCTGAGTCTTTTCAGTCACAACCCCTTTACCAGTAGGATCAGTGTTTTGATCACCTTGATAAATCTCTTCAAGCTCACTGAGAAACCGGAAATTCTTACCATTGTTAATATTGATGAAATATCTGCTTTCATGTTCAAACTTTTCCTTGCACTTCTCAGCACTCTTCTTAAACCCAAGCTCTGCTAGCTTCCTGTACACATCATAAATATATAAATCCAAAACCAACACCACCATAGATAGAAGCATTTATTTTCCTTCCCTTCCCGGTTCGCTCAATTACCCTCCTTCTCTCGGGGTTTGTGTGTGGCAGTGTGTGAGAGCTAAATTAATGTACTACTGTACAGTGCACGTGTGCGTTTGTCTACCACATGGAGTAAGATATGATATGATATACACGGCCATGATCAATAATCAAACACAAAATTTAGCTCATTAATTTTATTTTATTTTCATTCAACTTTAATGACTTACTCAAATGAAGTTAATTAAAAGCATATATATATATATATATATATAAATGATTAAGTTAAAATGTGTTAAGAGTATATACCTTGAGACATGTTCCCATGTGAGCTCTGGGAACCAACTTTCCATGCTAGATCTGATCCTCAACAGTGCAAGCACTTCATCGTTAGTCCATGAATCTATTAACTCTGGTAATTGTCTTTGATCTCTTTCAATCTCCGTGTTGATTGAAGAGAGCGTGCAGTTTGGTTCATTCTCTTTGTGTTTGTCGGTGGGAGAATGAGGTTGCAATGGGTGCAAGAGATTGGGTTGGAGTGGCAATTGATGATGAAAAGGGTTATAATTAGGATCAAAGGGTAGGAAGTTATTTGGGGTTGAAGAGACATGGAGTTGGGTGGATAAGTGAAGAGGAAGAGTGGTCCTTGGTGCTATGAATTGGTGGAACTGTTCTGGTGTTTCATCGAACATGTTTTGTGTTGGAGTTCCTTTCTTCCTCCTCTCGGTGTTCAGTACTGTTAATCTCTCTCTCTCTCACTCGTGTTTATCAAGGAGTTTATTCAAGCTAGCATTGTAAGGGAAAAAGATAGCCCCCAACACACTTTTAGAAGAAAGTGAACTCACCACCTACTAAGCGATAATATTCTACACAATAAAATATGGAGTGTGACCAACGACAAGTCAATCCACCGATTGAAGCTATTATCAATTCATTTTTAGATTCATTCAAAACACTTTTCTCTTTTCAGACAAAATCTAATTAAAGTCATCTTTAATTATCATCCATTATAATCAAGAAAATTTTGGGTAGCTTAGTCCCACTACGACGATATATTGAGTTTTACATTAAGAAAGTATAATTATAAAATGTTATAAGTATAGAATTAAATTAGATTAAAAAATATTAAAATATCTTAAAGATTTATAGTATTCTCTTTTGTTTCACATCATGTCAATAAAAACTTCTGTCTTTTATTTCCTTTATGTTTAAATTCTTATAATTTCAGCATTATTTTTAGATGGGTATCATCGTTTGCGACTTGTTCTGTTATTATTCTACTACCGAGTTCCCTAATTCAGTCAATAGCTCTATTTAGTATTAGTTTGTAGCACTAATCTCTTTGAATCAATTTCCTTAATTCTTTATATTTTTATGTTTTGTTTCTTTATTTTATAATCTCCTGTTTAGTATAAATCGAAATTGGAGTTTTGTCTTATGTATCATGTCATATTAATAACATTAACCACTCCATATCACATCATTATATAATATTATTAAATCTTGCCATTTTTTTCTCCCTCGATGCTTAAATTCATATAATTTCAACAAAATTGTGATCAAGAGGAGTTCTCTTAATAGTTACTTTATCTAGCTACAAGCAAAAATTGGAGCTTAAGTAAATCATTGGCATGATTAATACTTCACGTAATAAAAATCAAATATTATTAAGAATTTATTGGAACAATTTATTTGTGAACATTCCCAAATCTAAAGTTGAATTCGGACATAAATTAAAATCTCAAGCTAAATGATTCAAAGATGTAATGAACTTTATTTTTATATGTGCTTTGGGGGGGTTGAAGAAGACGCGCTAGGGGAGTGAGAGTGGGGGTTAGAAGAAGGAATGGGTTGGAAAAAAGAAAGTGTGTGGGGGCATGGAGTAGCTGACGGTGATGATGGTGTAATTAACGGCATGGGGATGGCAGGACACGTGAAAACAAGCAGAGTGTGGGACCAATGATTTAAGGATGGGAATCTTCACATGGTACAAAGGAATACAGTGTTATCGTACAGGCTCACCAGTCAGGCACGTGTGTAGTGGACGCTTGCACACAGTCACAGAACCCAGAGCAAGAGCCAAGAGCACCCACATCCACATGTGACTTGATTGTGGTTGAAGCAAAATTCTTTTGTTTTACATCATTTTTGTTCATGTAACCTAGCAAAAGAAACTATTAACTAATGATTTTCCTAAACAGAAAAAAAAAAAGGAAATAAATTATGTAAGGAAAACATTATATAAGTCAAGGGATTAATGTTTTTGATGTTATAAAAGATAATTTTATTTTTTTATTTATTATATGCACATAAAATATTTGAAATTTATGAGAGATCATATTGCATATATTTATGTGTATATAAAAGATTAATATTTATTTTATTATAAGTTAAATTCTGAAATATGAAAGTGAAATGAAACATGAATTGAGACAGTGTCTGACCACAGAAGCGTGGGCCCAAAGGAGCCTTTATGCTAAAAGACAATGTGGGCCCACCCCTAACATAAACATTGCGCCATATGCGTCTCGTGTGTTGTCACTATATACTGAATGGTTGTTAACTATTAGCTTATAGTAAGTGACAAAATTTGATTTAGTGGTAAGGGATTTGATAATTTATATTAGGGTATATGTTTAATTTATATTACCTCGTGCAATCGAAATAAGATAGTAAAATTTATTATTTAAAAAAAAATAGTGAATCTTATTATTTTATTTCTGTTGCATGAGATAATTATCTCATGCAATATGAGATAATTATTTCTCTTTTTATATATAAAAAAAAAATTATTAGCTCACACTCTTTGTCATGTTGAGGAACGTTAATTTTAGGCTTTAATATTTGTACAATGAATATAAATAAATTATCTAATTTACTCTCAAAATAATGTTATTTTGGGTCGAAAGTCTAAAAAATTATAATGAAAAATTTTATTATAACTCTTAAATAAATTATAATTATAAAAATATCTTAATTTTCGTCCCAAAACAACAGCATTTTGAGTTTAATGTAGATAATTTTTTACATTGACTGTAAAAAAAATGAATTCACATTTTTAATATCTTTATAATTTAATGAAATTTTATGTAAATATTATTAAATAATTTAAACTTACTATTATTAATAAAGACACTATAAAACTTCACTAATAATAAAAAAATATTATCAATATTTTTCTCAGCATAATAATTCATTTTGGGTCTGTTTGATTGTGTTCTGATTTTTTTGTTCTTAAAACTATTTTGTAAAATAGTTATGGAAAGAGTTGTTTTCTATATTTTTTAATTTTTGAAAGTTAAGAACCAAAACAAAAAACAAAAACAACTCAGACATGTTCTCTAAATTCGATTCTAAAAACAAGAAAAAACAGTTATAGTTTTCAAAACATTTTTTACAAAATAGGTCTTACCAAACGAGTTTTTTAGTTTTTTTTTTCTCAAAACTAAAAAACTGTTTTTAAAAACAACAATCATACGGTCTCTGCCGTTTTCTGTTTTTCAAAATGTTTGTGAAACAAACATTGTTTTTATGATTTTTCTAGCATATGTTCTCGTTTATCATTTTTTTAAGAGCAACATTCTCGCTCCGTAATTATTTATCAGAAACGTTTATTATTGAGTAATAGTTATTGGCAAGTTCATCAAAATAAATGATTTTATGAGTTAATCACTTCTTTCCCCTTCTAAGAGGGTAGTGTTAAACGAAATTAAGTGTGATTTATAACCTGCATCAAATGCATTAGTTACTCATTTTCCCTATTTGTAAATTTGTTGATGATCGACACTGTATCTAATTAATCCAACTGTCAGTGGATTAAATGCTCGGGATTTGAATTTTTTTTATTCTTACTTACTACATGAAAATGTAATGTAATTAAAAAACAATTACAAAAATATACTTTAATCGACTTTATACAAATATTGATAGGTTCTGTTATATTATTAGCGAGGATAAACAAAAAGATAAAATAAAAATGGAAAAATTCTATTCTCATCCACTGTGATTTTATGATTGATCACTTGACTCTCTGTGAATATAAACTTGTCACTTAGACTCATTATGCTTAAATAATTTATCATTTAATCCCCTGTGGTTTAAAATTTTCACTTACATTTATTGTGGTTACAAAAATATATCACTTGAATTTCTTATGATCTTATAAATATAAAAATATTTTTCTAAATTTTATTTTAATTGATTATTATATTATCAAATAAAAATAATAATTAAATATTAAATTAAAAAATATTTGAAGTTATTTATTGTGAAATTAATTTATAAATTATCTCAATTTTTTTATTTTAAAAATATATTTAAAAATTAAAAATATTATTTAAGATAAATTAAATATGTATTATCAAAATAAGATATTTTCTTCAGATAATTTTATAGATATTGGGTAAAAAATAAATAAAATAAAATAATATTTGATTTGAATTTATTTTCATCATAAAAATATGTCAATTTTTTTAAAATTTACTTTTATTTATTTGCCTTAAATGCATAAGATGATGATATAAAATAAAAAAGAGGAAAAATAAAAAAATTATTTGTATTAAATTATAAGTACATAATTGATATTATTATTAATTTAAATTTAAATAAATAATTTATATATTTCGGTACATAATTTTAATTTATAATATGATAATAATATAAGATAAAGGTTGAGAAAAATAAAAAATATATATAAGACTATAAAAGGTCTAAGTGATATATATATTTATAATCATAATGAATGTAAGTGAAAATTTGAAATTATAAGAGATTAAATGATAAATTATTTAAGTATAATGAGTCGAATTGAAAAAGTTAAAATCACAAGGGATCAAATGATAGATCATAAAATCACAATAGGTGACAATGAAGTTTTCCCAATAAAAAATATGAAAGCATGAATTTTTGAAAAAACATGAAAATATCATGAGTAAAATATTTCTGCAGTTACTGCATATAAGTTATCTGTTTTTATTCTCAAAACGAAGTCGTTTTGGTATTAAAATCTTAAAAAATTATAAATATAAAAACTATTATAACCCTAAAATAAATTAAAATTACAAAAATATCATGATTTTCGTCCCAAAACGATGTCGTATTGGGCTTACTGCAGATAACTTATCTACAGTAACCGCAGAAAAAGCAAACTCAAATATCATTACATTATAAATCCGCTAATCATTTAATTTTTCATAAAACTTATGTAATTCTATAGGACTTCAAATACAAATAAGGGAATAATTATATTTTAACAATGTAATAGTTATAATGTATATCAAAAGTTACAGGAAATCAAAAGGTTGTTCACACGTCATAAAACATATGCAAAGTGATTCACATAAGTATGTTACAACATGTTACACGTATTTTATAATTTTTCTTTTATAACGTTACATTATTAAGTTAATAAATAGTATAAAAAATCTAGTTTATGCTAAAGTGCATTTAAGGCATCTTAATATTATCTGATAATAAATAGTCTTCGTATATGGTTCCCTTTTGTTTTTTGGGTACACATAAATGCAAAAAAGAAGAAGAGGTGGAAAGAGCATCCATCTTATCAGCAAGAAGATGATAGAGCTGCATGAGCTACAAATTAAATATGAGTGAGGTTGAGGCTATAGAATCTCCTCCTGCTATTAGGTCTGCACCTATTCCCCTTTCAAAGTACATTCGAGTTAGCGAGAAAATGATTGAAGCTGCTACAAATGTGTATACAAGTATACAACTACACATAATAAATATTTGGAACAATAATCATATTGCCACCTTTTAAGCAACAATTTATCGGATTGTCACGTCAGTAAATGCACTTGACACATGACAATGTCTGAATGGTCTACTGTTCTAGCTGAGCAGTCCAACGAGAATAACAAAATGCTAACACGTGGCTAAAGTACATGTATTCTTTACAAAAGTACAGGATGTCTATACTTTTGTCACGTGTCAGCATTCTGTCATTCTCGCTGGACTGCTCAAGTAGAATGGTGGACCATTTAGACGCTATCACGTCTCCAGTTCATTCTCGCTTGTCAGATCAGCGGGATTATGACGTGGTATTTTGAAAAAAAAAATTCCTAACGTGATAATCCGATAAATTTTTATTAAAGGGGTGTGAGTTTATTCAATATCCCTAAATATTTGCGTATAATTTTTCTCTTGTATTCTTTGAAGATGAAATTAAATTCCTTTTGGAGTACTATTCCTCCTTTTACGATTCAAATGGAGCGATTTTTTTGAAAGCAACCATTGCATTTATAAAGTGAGTTTGAATAAATTAATTTATGGTTGACAACATTGATCGCAAAAATAGTTCCGATAAATAAATGTTGCGTATAATGCTAATAAAAACAGTTTTTAAATGTTTAATTACTGAAAATTATATAAATTAACCTATTGAGTTAGATTGAAAATAAATTGCTTTGTAAATAAATTGATTGTTGGCTCTCTTTTTTTTTAATTGAAGTTTGTTTTGCTATTAGTATAATTTTAATACGAGGTTTTATTTATTTAAATATTGTTAAAATCGTTATAAAATATTAATTATAAAGGTATGTTCGTCAATGTACATATAGACAAGTTTATAAAAAAGAATTAATAATTAATTATGTAACAATTGGAATAATATAAAACACCTATAAAGAATTTTGAATCGTGACCAAATATAAAATTCTAAATAAATCATAATTCAAATCAAATATAAAATTTTAAATAAATCCTAATAAAATATAAAATGTTAAATAGATTCTAGTTGAATATAAGATCCTTAAAAATAATTAAAGATCTGTTAGAAAATTCTAAAATTTTGACAATAACAAAGTAATTCTTAAATAACATCATAATCTTCCAACATGCTTCTTCTGTCGGTATCACAAAGGTTCATAATTTCCATTATTACCTAGACTTCTTCAATCAAACTAATCACTTTTATCACGTGTCCAGGAAAGCATAGGATGAAACATTTCAGCTAAAAATATACAGCGAAAGAAAGCAAAGAGATGGTATGTCATTGCTAAAACGGGAAAAAAAAAAGGAGAGCGTGCACGAGGTACAAAAATCCAACACATGAAAATCTTCTCATACAAAAAACGAACATTAATAGCACTTACAAATATTCAACTTAAATTTTCAGCAGAAATAGTTGGAGTGTTAAATTTCACACTTCCCTAACAAGATACAAAGAGTACTTGAGAGGAATTTGCTCCATCTCTTCCGACAAGATACAGAGATTATACACATCCACTGAGAACTAGTAATCACTGATCTCAAACTTCCCTATCTGTTGTTCTCTCCGTTCTATGAATCACTTTCTCCTTCTGAAAAACATAGCTAAATGGGTAGCCCCGTGCTTTACTACTGGTTTAATGTCTTGTGATATGCAACCTGCAAAAGCATTATAAAAAAAAAAGGATTTATATGCACATGCAAATGCAAAGTGAAGTGATAGAAAGTTTGCACATTAACTAATTCACCTTTTCCCAGTCAGTACTGTGCCAAAATAATTCAGTAAAGCTAGAACTTATCACATGTATATAATATATATCTGACACTTGTTCCCATGTTATATGTCTTTACAAGTCTATTATTTAAGAACGTATCACCAATACTAGAAGCTTATCCCAAATATGATTAATTTGAACAATGGTCTGAACAGATAAAAGACCCTTCAAATTGGGTGCTTACAGATGTTGAAGTCTTCAGCAGCTCTCTTATGGCCATTGTTGCATAACATGAAGCAGGAAGAGTAAAGCTCAATTTGAGAGCAATATGGGAATCTTGAGAGCTAGAACCACCAACAGATTCATCATGTGGTAATATTACTTCCTCACCTTCAATCTCATTATAATCAGTCTCAAGCTTTGCACCATCATCAAAGCTCTCTAACTGTCTCACGCAATCAGAGGCTTCTTCCTTTTTCGCATTTGGTGCGCCCACTGGTTTGACATTGTTTATAGGATTAGACTTGCCAATTTTGTCTAAATCTGTCTCTACCAATGGTTTATTACTATCAGTATATGTAAGTAATTCCCTGCAATGACAGACAATCGAAGACATTCAATAAGCCAACTACATACAAAAAATGGGTAAAAATAACAGTCTACGCAATCAAGGGGAGGGTTAACTTAGGTACGTACGATTCAAAGTTAATTGGTTTCTGAAAAACCCTCCTGTAGCTTCCAGTCACACTAGTTATTGAGAATTCCCTTATAACATACATGTACGAATAAACTAGAGTAAGAGAACCGGCAGAAGAAAAAATGAGAAAGATAGATAACGAACGTAGAATTTCACTCATCGAGATTTGAGTTGATATTATTATTTACATACTTCACATTATGCACGCTCTCAGTTAAACTGATTCCATCCTGACCAGTACAAATAAAACAGGTGACTAGTTAGGAAAAAAATAACTATTCATGGAACAATAACAGTTAAATGATTACAGAATAAAGCAGGTTGCAAAAAGGCTAGGACAGCAACCCAAACAGAAATTTAGTACTAGCTGACCATACTTTCAGAAGTAACAAGAGGAGGAGGGGTAGAAAGAGAAACAACGAAGGGGCTCCATCCATCTATGATAGTATCCCTAGTAGAATTTCCAGTTCCAAGAATCAATGTAAACTACTGAATATTAATCTTAATATATTCATACATCAAGATCTTCAGGTCGGTGTCCTACAGAATATCTGAAACATAACCTATACCCTTCAAGGCATAGCTAACTTAAAAAATCAACTTGTCTCAAATTTATGACCATTCTTTATTTCATTAGCAAAGGACTGTTTCCAGATTGACACAATAAAATAAAACCAAGACAATTTAAAATTTCCCCATAATGAGCTAAAATTATTTGCTAAAGTACCCCAAAATGCAAACCAATTAATATCACATTTAATAAGTGAAATTTTGACATGACATTCAGTCTTGGTTCCTTGGATATAATTCCTAATGCAAACTCAGTTTATTAGAAAGTACAAGGGGCCAACTTGATACGTACTTTATTTGCCAAATCATGATAAACTTTGGCAATATCATTGGTTGGATAAATTACCCGTGAACTGCAAGATAATAAATACATAAGTGTCAGAGACTCAACCGCCCACACCCAAAAAAAGGAAAATGGAAAATTGGTTACTGAGTTAAGAGGATATGAGTTATATGAATGGAAGAATCTGACCAGCATTATTGGTCAAGCTTACCCTGGCATAGGAAGGATGACATCATCAATTGTATAACATCCCGAATTGAGATCTTCAGTATTCACAACCTGTCATACGAAGTGAACCCACTTTAAATCGTCAACCTCATGTTAGAACACCATTCACACAACTTTTTTGGTTCCTTGTTGTGTAATTGTTTTTTTGTTCCAATGGATAAATTATTCTGCCCCTAGTTGTATATCCCCTCATTTCTCCCAAATAAAATTTCATTTTCTATTATTAAAAAGAATAGATTTCACACTTTACTACCTTTTAATGTTGGTCAACATCAAATCAAGTTCTTACACCTAAATTTACATGGAATTAATCCGTTCATTTGAGAAAAATGGTTCAACATTGTGTTTCATTCATGAAATTTGAATCAAAATTGCTCAATAGGTTATTGATTTCATCAAATGGTTATTGATCATTCAGATCATTAACAATGAATAGGGATGCAGATAACGAGGCAAACACATATTGTAAGGCTACAGATAGTAAATGTTGAATAGTATCTACTAATTAAGGAAATAAATCCCATATTTATCTGATTGTATATTTTGTAATTAATTAAATAATGATTTGATTAGATTAGATTTCACTTGTATTTTCCTTGTTATTAGTGACTGTAAATCCTATATATAAATGAATGGGGCTGTGAGGAATTCTCAATCCATTCACAAAAATCTCTTCCAACAGTAAAAATTTACACACAGATAAATGCATAAAAGAACAGAAGGTGTAATTCAGAAGCCCCATCTGTTCTTACATTGTTCTGTAGCCGTTTCTTTATGAAATTCTTTCTTTGGCATTGGAGACTGTAGGGTGTGCCCTACATTCTTGGACCAGTTCCTGTTGACTAGCTTTACTGGTTATGGTAGGAGGGAAGAAGCCGAATTTTTGCGGCAAAACACAATCTATGTATGTTACCCTTTGATGCATTTTGTTAGAGCGTAATTCTTGCATCTTTAAGGAGATACCTTTAATGAGAAGCTTCTTACGGATAAGATTAGGTGTTTGGCTTCCAGTTGATATAAAGCACAGTCTTTTTACAGGAGTTTCTCTTACAGATATGTTAAGGGATTGGGCAGCTTTGCTTGTATTGAAACTTTAGTTTTTAGATAAGGAAAAGGAAACGGAGAGAATGACAGCCAACAATGTATTATGAGATTGATAGTTCAAATACAATAACCTAATACACTTATTTATACTATTAATTAGGTCAAGTGCTAGTACTACTATTACATGCCCATACCAACAAGACTACTAACCCTATTATCTTCTAACAGTTTTATTTTTTCTTTGTTCTGTATTCTTTGTTTTCCTTTTCTTTTTTAAGCAGGATTTCTTCTCCTCCTAACTCTTTGTAGTCATCTTTTATCTTAATGAATTTCTTCTTTCATAAAAAAAGGCCTCAATTTCATACAATCTCCTTGAACTTTCATTATCAGAAGAATTACAATACATAAAGGATCAAAATAGGCGTGGCCAAATATTTGAGCATAGATGTACCTCCCCCCGTCTACATATTGTGTGTACCCTAGACTCTCAATAAATAGATGAAAAAGATATGTCATAACAAAAAGAGGACATACTTCTAAAGTTACAACTTTGGTTGAGTAATAGCAGATCTCTGTAATGGGCTAAAATCAGAAACACTAACCTTGATATAACTACTTCTTTCTTCATGAATATCTCCAGAGATTTCATCTTCATTATGTGAATCATACCTATCGCCACAGTCATCATCACATTCAGATCCAACAAGCCCTGTAACTTTTCCAGCAGGATTTTCTTTACAATATACCAAGTCTCCCAATACTACTTGTTCAGTTCCTGCCACACGGTAGAATCACATTTAACTTAATAAATGAGTATTTGACTTCAACTACCATAGTAATACTAATGCTATGGACTGTGTACCAAAAATGCAGTAAGCATGTCAGGAGATGTAACATTAGAAATTAATTGCCAGACAAAGCAAGTCAGATCTAGAAAATTATTACAAATCACAACATACCATATTTTTGCACCCTTGTACTTGCTGCATGGTTCCACAAATAACTTTGGTAACTATGTACATACCTAAAAAATAAAAAAGAAGTTAAGGAACTACCAAATGAAGAAGAACAATATTATCCTTCAAATAAATGATCTTAAATAATATTGTAAAGAATCAATTCAACTCAAAAGCTTAAGCTATTGGGTGAGGTTACATTAATGGTTTTTATATATCTCAACACGCCCCCTCACACGAGAGCCCACTGGGCTTGAAGGGTGGACAATGCACAGGCCCACCTACCTGTGCGAAGAAAGAAATTCTACTAGAAAGAAAGTGGGAGGCGGTGAGAATCGAACCCCGTACACCGAGGCTCTGATACCATGTAAAGAACCACTTTAACCCAAAACCTTAAGGTATTGGGTGAGGTTACATTAATGTTTTTTATATATCTCAACAAATATCTTATTTCTTGTACTTGTGTTCAAAGCACACTTGTCTTTGCACATGACACAAAAGGAAACATCATCAGAAAGACAGCCTAAGTAACCCACTCTAGAGCTTCTGGAAGAATATCCTTAGTATCTTCCTAGCTTTCAAGTTTCAGATTTTATTAATTTGCATTTGGGTTGACTTCATTGTTTTGGATTACAATACTAAAACCTTTCCTCCTTAGATGGATACTGTGTTAAAAGCAGAGATTTAGTACTAAACCACCAATTTTAAATGGTGATAGTGAAGCATACCAACAGGATGAAAAAGAAATACACTCGCCAACTTTTTCAAATATATATTACACCAACCTATTAGCCACACAGTGTTTTTTCCTTCAAATTAACAATCAGCCTGATGTCTAAGTACAGAACTGATCGGCACCCCCTAGGGCAGGGGAGGAGGGGCAAAGCTAACATACACCCCAGCACAAAATTGACATTGGCAATAAACTGCGCTTAAAAAAATATAATCCCCAATTATAACAACACCATCATCCTTATTATGACATTTCTATTGTAAAAAAGGAAATTACTGCTAGCATAGCAGCATGCCTGTAATTTGCAATGTGGCAATAACCCTTGTCTATGTTTGGTTTTGATTATTTTATGCTCATAATAAGTTTTCCTACTCCAACTAGGAAAAAGTACTTCCAATAACAATGAAACTAATACGAACCTTGAGAGAACCTCACCCCAAAAGCTAGCTTAAGAGGTAGGAGAGCCCAAAGTACATATAAACCCCATATTAGTCACCCATATAACCAATGTGGGACTCCAACTCCCATACCTTGGAGTAGGATCGTAACATTCCACCACGTTTCGCAGCCGCGGCGCCCACGCGGGCTGACTTTGCGCTAGTTTTTTACTAGCCTTGGACTAACACTGCAATGCCAACGTCACCACCCACGCCGCTCAATTGCAACCAGGAGACATAGTGAAAGGCTTTGATACCAATTGATACGAACCTTGGGAGATCTTTACCCAAAAACTAGCTCAAGAGGTAGGAGAGCCCAAAGTCCATATAAACCCCACATTAGTCACCTATATAACCAATGTGGGACTCTAACTCCCATACCTTGAAGTAGGATCGTAACAGAACCAAACATTCACTCCACAAAACATAGTAATATCTTCAGAAAATTATAACTCACATCATTCTCAAGGTCCTTGGAATAATTTTCAAAGCCAGCAAGTAGTTTCCAGGAGACTTTTTTAAACTTTGCAGCTGCAGAAGAAATGTTGACAAAAACTAGGTTATAACATCATACGTGGATAAATATAGTGGGTAAATAAAAAATTAGCTCCATTTTCACACCAAGTTTATGGAAAAACAACAATTAATGCAGAAATCATTTTCATTTGAAGCTTACCACAGCCCTTTCAGCAACTAAATATCGAGGCAACTGCTTAAGTGTCCCTGCAACATCGTTACTATCTTTATAGTACTTGCGCGCCTTGGCTATTGCACTTCTTTGTATTTAAATAACAATCTTATGAAAAACAAAGGCAATCAATATGCTAATCTTAACTATCAGCGCACAAATAATCAATTAATATATTATCCATTATATAAAAAAACAAAATGAAAAGGATATCTCCATCTCTTGGATCAAGGATCAGATCTACAGCAAGTTTCCATTCCCCTCGGAGTAATGCACCTCCAATAAGGTGAGTTGGCACAGAACCACTTCCAAAACGCTGAGCACATTACATGCAAATAAGTTGCTTATAAACCAAACTGAAAAAAAAGTTAAGTCCTAAAATAGACAGAGTCAAAAACACCATGTTACACTACTTTATGAAACGCTTCAACACTAACCAAGACCAGGAAGTGACAAAATATAAAACATGAGTTTGCAAGCTGAAAGTGTACAAGCTTTAATGCAAGTTTTGGACTTAAAAGAATTTCAATAGAAAAAAAATTCTCATCAAGAAAAAAATAAAATGTATAAGCTTTTTATGTCTTTGGTGAAAGCCAACACCGTACCTAAACAAAACTGTTTCCAAGCTGAAAGTGAGCCTTAAGTTCGACAAAGTAAGGATAATTTTTAAGACATAAGGTCATCCAGAAATGTACAGCACAACATTAGTTTATATTACAAATAACAGGGCCAACAGATGTTGAAGACATTTAAACGCCCAAGAGATTGCTTTTTAAATATAATCTGCAAGAAAAAAAAAACTGTTTGTATAGAGATAATTTTTGCTGGCTCTTAGAAGTACACAACTTATGTATGTCATCAAGAAATATACAACATAACATAAGTTTATATTACAAATCCACAGGGCCAACAAATGTTGAAGACAATTAAACTCCCAAGAGATTGCTTTCCAAATATAATCTGAAAAAGAACATGTTTGTATAGAGATATTTTTTGCTGAGGAGAAGAGAAAAAAGACACACACAAAGAGGGTAGAGAGTGTAAAAGGTTGATTTAAAAAGTACTTGTAAACCAAAGTAGTTGATGAAGCCATGCCTTCCTAAGGCAGCTGCAGATGCTTTTATGGTGTCTTCAGAATCTGCAACAATACCTCTAAGAAAGCAGTCAGTGTTATGTGTAAAAATATAAAGCTGCAGTTACATCAACAATTATAAATAATCCTAACTGTAAGAGATACTAGTTTAACAGAGGAAAAGTGGATTTCATGCATAGATAATACCCTCACCGCAATGTGATTGTGAATCGGTTTCCGAAGAGCTGGCCAAGACAAAGTCCTTCCTTAACATAACTGGAAAGCAGTACATTTACAGGTTGATCATCCATCAAGGAACTGATAAGCAGGAACTAGAAGAGCTCAAAATTCAATCAGCTTACCAGAAATCACCGACTTTAATACCAAACAATCTCTCATTAAGAGAAGCTAGCCTACTTGCTTGCTGCTTATAAACAGTAACCTAGAAACAAAACAAGAACTAAAACAACTGAAGTATCTATCTCTAAATGAACAGTAATATAAACTCCAGAAGATGAAGGAATAAATATTCAATGTAGAATCAGAAAGAATGTGAAAATTGATTACCCTTTGAGTTGAGACAGCACGTTTGTCCTTTGTACCCGCAAATCCAAATGATCTTGACTGTCAGTTAACTATCAATCAGTTAAAATGGAAGTGGAAAAAATCAACAAGCTATTCTAGCAATCAATAATAATCTGAGCAGATTGCACTTGTTTATTCATTTATTTATTTATTTTTCTTGAGGGAGGGTAGGGAGGGAGGAACAGGCAGTACATAATACAAACAGAACTGAATTTCCTTACCTATCAGTCATCAGAACTAAATAACTTAAAGGCTGAAGCAAAGACATTGATAATGCATAAAATAGAAGTACTCACTCTGAAGCCATAACATTTTACATCATAAATCATAATTTTATGAGCAGAAAAATTCATGAAACTATAAAAAAAAAATAATAGCAAGTTTCCTAATCTCCAGGTTGAAAAAAAAGGTTGTACAGAATCATAAATATGTCAAGCAGATAATTCATAAATTCAAAAATATGGAAAATAGAATTCAATTATTACCATGCCCCAAATAAGGAAAGTATCACATACAATACAAGAGCCTAAAGAATCATCAGCGAACAAAACACCCCTATCTGTAGAGAAGAATGGCTATGGAATATATCCAACAATGAACAAGACGTACCTGGATGCCAAGCATATCTCCAATCAACCCCAAGGCTTCCTGGGTATCTTTATTCTCCTTATAAAGATGAAACCTAGACATTACAATTGTAGAAACATTCAGTTGATAACAACGAGCAACTTAAAACAGAAGAAAAAAGCAGGAAAATATCATGACCAAATATAAAATGCAACCAAGAGTGGCTATCGCTTTCCGATAATGTCTGAATAAAATATAATTTGATACAGCCAATTGACACCTTAAAGTCCAATCCTTCCAGATATCTCAACACTCTTAAAAGTAGTTACTTCTGCATAATACTACAGTTTGGACTGAGTTCATCTTTCTTTCTTATTTCAGTGTTATTTAAGTTGCTTATTTAATATTGTTCTTAATCCCTCAAGTTGCTTGAGCACCAGTTATTTGATTCTTTCTTAAGCCATAGATTGGATAACTTACATTCAAATTCATTCAATTCAAGCGTGATTTGATTAGCTTGTGAAATAGAAATATACTCCCCATTCCTATGTAATCACAATTAGGGCTTGAACTTAATGAATCTTTCTTAATTTGATTCTCATAAGAATACACAGTTATTTTTATATGAATATTGGGATAATCTTATAAATACATTTGTGCCCTATATCAGCAATTCATAGGCATTGAATAAGTTAAGAAAAGGTGAAATAAATCCATATGAAGTGGAAACTGAAGTAGTAAACCTAGGCCTCTCTATTGATTGATTTACATTGTTGCTCAAATCTTATTTTCATTTCTAGTTTTCTTTCAAAAATTATTTTGGTTGTTTGAAAAAAGTTAAGGAGTCCCAATTTCATGCAGGGTACATTAAAGAGCAAACATTTAAGTCCCAAGTACAAGGTAAACTGAAATATAAATTTAAATTAAAAAAAAACTGACATGGAAGATAGTGAGCCTTGCTCAATTTAAATTTTATAAAACAAAATGATTGAGCAACTTTACCTAAGGAATTTGCCAACATTTTCGGGCCAATTTTCTGAACCTCTGCTGTCAAAAGGCTTATCACCTCTTTCTTTGCGTTTCTTGGAATTTTTGCCTTTGTTGTTGGGTTCACCAGAATTCAATCTCACACGGATGCATTTTGATGAAGCATCTGGTCCATCAACCACGTCAGTGACTAGGAACTTGAAGTTTTCCTTTAAGAAATTATGTATTGCCTGATAGATTTGAGAAGCATAAAATTAAGATATCTTGAATAGGCAGAAAAACTACAAAACGAACTCATTATGCTTGGGCTTTGCCATGATAGCAGAATCAAACCAGTCTCAACTTTCTCAATTCAACTAAATGTAAAAGCAAATTATAATGGCGGGGCGCTCTACTCAAAAAAGTCTAAATACTTAAGCAAATGAAGTGCAAATCAAAAGGATTCAATTTCATACTTGTTTCCAAAAACAATATAATCTCTGGTAAAATTCGAATTCATTTTAATGAGACACTCTAGTCCCTAGATTTTGATCCAATATCAAAGTACTCGCTGATATAGGCATCTTTTCATATATGCCTCCCAAATCTAACATAGAACAAGAAAGCCACAAAACTCATACTAACCGTTCTATGAGATTTATCAGAATCCGGAGAGAGAACAATAGGAGAAACACTATCTTCGCCACCAACATTAATTCGATTAATTAATTCTTCCAAAAGGAGTGCATCAGAATCCCCAGCAAGAGACTTGAAGGATTCAATTTGAGAGACAAAACTTATAATTGTAGTGTCTGATGTGTTTGTTTCATTTTCCTGAACACTCTGAAACGAGCACGATAAGTCAAATACTAAAAAAAAATCGCAAATCAATTTATTAATGAACCAAAAACATTAGACCTTTGATACCTCTCCTAGCTCTGCAGGGGAATCAAGTGAGGACAATTGAACAACCTTTCCATCTGTGTCTACTTCATTTACAATAAAATCAGAATACCTAGATCAAATTCAGCTGATTCAGCATTAGCAAAACATTGTTCAATAATGCTTTAGTATATATACATCATTACATACTACGGACATGTGCTTGTCTACTTATATATAAACATTCTACATTAAAATTTGGCATCTTCAATTTCATTTGTGAATAAAATGAAGAGACCTTTGCTTTAAAATTCCACGGAAGCCGGGAAGGTTAGAAATGTAGCAGGAGATGCCCACGTCGGGTTCTTCTTGGGTTTTCATGGCCATCACGGTTTTACACAAATAGCTGAGGTTGGTGACGAGAGGGTTTTAGGGTTTTAGTTTAGAGGAGCAGAGAGAGAAGCACCAAGTTAAAAGCAGCTGCATGTGCTTTGCAGACTCCCTACAACGCACCGTTTTTAAAGTAAATCGCACTGCCGAGCTTCGGCCTGTGACTCACATGGAAATGAATTGTCCCATATTTTATTTAACACGATCCTTAAATTATGTTACATTGACATCGAGACACACAGGATGTGACATGATACTAATTTCAAAAAATTGTTAGATTTTGATATATTAGGACGAGATTAAATAATATTATAAAATAATATAATGAAAAAATAAAGTTAAATTTATAATATTCATTAATTTTGTAAAAAAGTATAAGATATTACAAATATTTATATTAAAATGGTAATTGTAATTTAAAGAATCTAACAGTTGAAACTAAAAATGCAATGTAATGCAACTTCTGAATCATTTTTTGAGTTTCTGCAACAAATATGAAGTGCTAAGAAGAGTCGGACACGACACGTCAAATTTTTTGAAATGTAGATGCATCATAGTTCTTAACTATACAAAATAAATCAACAATGAATTTATAACTAGTTATTTCAATATTTTTTTCTCACTTCCTTTGTTATTATTGATTCATTTTGCATGTTTATAATTCTGAATAACATATATGACACGGCTTTTCAACCCTTAAGGGGGTTTTTGGTATGGGAGAAACTTTTTATTACTGGAGAAAAAAAATTGTCGAAATATGATAAAAAAAAATTATGCCCGGGTAAGTTACAAAAAGGTCTTTCACCAAAAAAAAAGAAAAGGTGTTTGGTAGGCAAAAAATTTGTCGGGAAAGTTGGGTTACTTTTACTAATGCTTTGTTTGGTTGATGATGAAATATTAATGAGAATATATAATGAAATTACCCAAACTTTTTCAGACAAGTTGTACTTGATATAGACTTTTTTAGGGCATTTTTGTCGACAAATAGTAAAAGATTTTTCTCCATTGTTGGATTTAAAAAATACCACACTTCAAATGACCATTTTTTTTCCATTGCCTAGTTCAAAACAAAAGTCATGGGAAAAATAATATATCGGTTTTTTATAACTTCAAGACATATCAAACATGATTAACATATTTTACCTACCCTACTTTTCGAACATTCCTATTAAATTCTCCGTACCAAACATCCTCTAAGTTTATTCAAATTTGGGTTATGTAACAGAAAACCTACTAAAATGTGACCCAATGTTTCCAAATCTCGTAAAGCCCATTATTAAGGTAAGGCAATCCGTGTGAATAACAAAAATGAGGTATTGTTTATGGGTTTGATATTTGTCATTTTAGATGACATAAGTTATGTTATTTTAGGAGAGAGATATACACAAGAAAAGAAAATCATGGGAGAGAAAGTTGGTGGTTTTTTTTAATTTAAATTTTAAATAAAAAATAATATTTTCTTGTGTCTGTCTCTCTCCTAAAATGATATAACTTTATGTCATTTAAAATGACAAACACTTTTTCCATTGTTTATTGATTAGCTTATTTTGGATTTAAAATAGTTTATAATTAAATTTTAATAAAATTTTCGTTGAAATATTTTTTTATATCAAAATTGGTCATGCTGTTAATTAATGTAATTTGTATTTGCATTCATGAGAAGTGATTTATGCAAATTTCTTCCGGTAGGGATAGCATACTTTGCAATTTATATTGGTTTTATTTTTTAATTAGGATTGTTATTACGGTTATGATAAAATAAGGCAATTATTATTCATGACTTAAAACCTCGTCACAAATTGGGGCTTAGCCCCTCTTTATTTAAAAAAAAAAAAAAAAAAAAAAAAAAACCTCATAACAAATGGTTTAAGAAACCCAATTTTGTTTCTTATTGAAAGGAGGGTAAGCAAATAACATAAACTTAGAATTTATTGGAAATACTTTAGATAAAGCATCTCAATGAAAAAAATATAAAAAAAGTTGTCTTATCTCTTTTACTTTCTTTTTTATTCAATGATTTATCGGAAAATTCATTTAATTCAGTTCTAGTCATGATAAATTTATGGTAATAAAAAAAAATTATTTCCAAAACTGGAGACATTTAAATCAAACAAGTTGTTTAAACAATTTATATATACAAAATTTTATTTTAAAAAAATGATATTGATTATTAATCTGGTTATTATAAAACGTTAGTTAAAACTGATAGAGACTAAGTGTGAGGAATAATAATTAATTCAACTAATATTAATGTTTTAAATTTTTTTATTAAAAATTGTGATATAGAACCCTTAGTTTGTCGATTAACCCCTATCGAAGCCTATCTTATTTTAATTTTCCTTCCTGATAAAATAAAAGGTAAGTTATTGGGCTTTTTCACCTCTTATTAATTAATTAATAATCATTTTGTCCCTGATTCGAAACTATTTACCAATCTGCCCATCTTTAATCGACTATCTTGCATTTTTAATCGACTAAATGGCCAAAACAGGCAAAAATGACTGTTGGGAGATTTAATCGACTAAATCTCCCTATTTAGTCGACTAAATCTCCCAACAGACAGCAAAGGAAAACAAGTCAGTATGATTTTTTAATCGATTAAGTAAGAAGATTTGGCTTTTTCACCTTTTTACCCTTTATTAATTAATTAATAACCATTTTGCCCCTGATTCGAAACTATTTATCAATCTGCCCCTCTTTAGTCGACTACCTTGCATTTTTAATCGACTAAATGATCAAAACAGACAAAAAATGGCTGCTGGGAGATTTAGTCGACTAAATCTCCCTATTTAGTCGACTAAATCTTCATATTTTACAAAAAAAAAATAAGTCAGTATGATTTTAATCGATTAAGTAAAGAGATTTAGTCGATTAAATCTCCCAACAACCGTTTAGTCGATTAAAAATGCAAGGTAGTCGATTAAAGAGGGGCAGATTGGTAAATAGTTTCGAATCAGGGACAAAATGGTTATTAATTAATTAATAAGGGGCAAAAGGGTGAAAAAGCCAAGAAGATTTAGTCGATTAAATCTCCCAACAACCATTTAGTCGATTAAAAATGCAAGGTAGTCGATTAAAGAGGGGCAGATTGGTAGATAGTTTCGAATCAGGGGCAAAATGATTATTAATTAATTAATGAGAGTAAAATGGTCAAATAGCCCAAGTTATTGTATAATCCTTAAAAGTTTGAATTTTGTACCAGTATACAAATTTTCTTAATTAACCTTCGAGTGTTCGACAAATTTGGAGAATGATATTGTGACAATCAAGTTGTGTTACTATCATGTTACTACCAATCAATCTCACCGTTTGATCGCTTATGTTGATCCAACGGTTATATTTATTTTCATCTTTGTATGATTATGATTCTTCATATTTAAAGTGAAAGCATTAAATATGAAAAATCATAACCATACAAAGATGAAAATAAATATAAAGTATTAAATTTGAGAAATCATGACCAGAAATATAACCGTTAGATCAACCTAAGCGATCTAACGGTGAGATTGATTGGTAGTAATATGATAATAACACAATTTGATTGTTACAATATCATTCCCTAAACCCTAAATCATGACCAGATGAAAATAAATATAACCGTTGAATTAAATAAATGATCTAACGATGAGATTCATTAATAATAACATTAACACAACATAGCTATTACAATATCCTTCCCCTTAATTATTTATTTATTTTCGAGAGGCGGAACCTCAAGTGGAAGTGAGGAAGTGCGAATGTGCGATTCTAGTGTATTTGTTGTACCTTTGTGTGCGTGTGGCGCACAAAGTTTATAGTTCCAATAAAAAACAGATCGAAAACCCGTCAACCCTCAGAATCGAATTGGATCGAATCTGTGAATTGGGGAAAGATGGTTACGAAGACAGAGGAGACTCAATTGAATAGGTTAGAAAATCAGGTCGATAATGGCGGAGGAGGAGCCTGGGAGTACCTCTGCCTTGTTAGGAAGCTGAAGGTTCGTCGTCCAGAGAAAGTCATGAAGCATGGCTTGTCCATCTTGAACGACCCCAAACGGAGATCCACTCTCGGCCCCGAAGGTATTGCTTATTCCCTTACTTACTACAGTGACCTAGTTTTATTAACTATACTTACTTTTATTGAATTGAACTTTTATCTATTGATTGCTTGTTTCTCGATGCAGAGTGGACTTTGTATGAGCAGGTTGCAATTGCAGCTATGGATTGTCACTGTCTTGACTTTGCCAAGGTTTTGATCTAAATTGATCTTGTGTTTTTCGATTAGTTTCTTTCACGTGTCATGATGACGTATACAACAAATTGTAAAATCCTACCCTTTATTTGGATATATATATGTCTGTATGAAATTCGCTTGTAATGCTGGCTACTTCAGGAATCTTATGTTTGGTGGTTCTAGTTTTCCTGGTTATTAATTTGAAATATTTGAAACTTTTTTTTTTTCCTTATCTGACTCTATCTGTACTCACTTGACACTTCTGTTATGGAGATGCTGGTGATGCTTGTGTTAGATGGTTGGTCATGAGTTTTAAAAGGAATTACAAACTTGAATAATTTTGTTTTAATGCATCATAATACTTGTACTACATAATTTAGCTTGTAAGCAAATCATTTTCTGGCTATTATATCATTTGCTAAGTTTGAGCCCTATTTTGGTCCCTTTTACATTGTCAATTATGTTATTTATTGTAGAAAATTAGAATTCAAACATGTTTCCGTTTTTATTTCCTATTAATTAGGATTGATTATGATTGATTAGGATTGATTATGATTGATTAGGATTAATTGTGATTGATTAGAATTGATTGTGATTAGGATTGTGATAGGATTGATTAGTCATCGCTTAGTCATTCTTAGCGATTCTTTCTTGTATAAATACTCACTCATGTAATTTATTCAATATCAATATACAAAAACTTCTTTTCAATATGGTATCAGAGCGGGTTCGTTCCTACCCTAATTCAAATCTGAAATAACCATCCAAACACTTCCATCACCGTCAAACACCTCCTAAACACTGCCTTGAATCTGTCCAACACAGAAACCTAGTTTACTGACCTCCGATCAAAAAAGTGAGGTGACCATTCGACTCAGAAGGATCCGACGAGTCGACCGCCGCTGGACCCATCGCCGTCAGCCGCTGCACGCGCCGCCTTCCAGACGTTTTTTTTTCCGTCGCGACTTGCACAGACCTTCTCGCCGGCTTCTCCCCTTCCTGTTCCAGAGGTCAGATCAAAAGTTTACAAAACTTGATTTTTCATCAACGGTCAACCCTTCTCTTTTTATTCATGGCTTCCTCAAAACACTCTTTTTATTACCACGAGCAACCTCCTAAGGCCACTAGTCATGTGGTCCAGCAAGGTACAACTTTCCATGTTGATAGTCAAAATCATTGGATCCTTGATTCTGGAGCCTCTGATCATATGACAGGTAATCTTGGCTTGTTTTGTTCATACACTCCATATTCTGAACCTTCTCGGGTCAAGATCGCCGATGGCAGTTTTTCCCAGATTGCTGGACACGGCACCATTAAACTTTCTGAGCTGATTACTTTGACATCAGTTCTTTATGTTCCTTCTCTGACTTGTAATCTCATTTCCATTAGCAAGCTCACCTCTGAGTTGCATTGCTTTGCTAAATTCTTTCCACATGGTTGTGTTTTTCAGGAACAGGACTCGGAGAGGATGATTGGCAGTGCTAGAGAGGATGGTGGACTTTACTACTTTGAGGAGGATGTGACTCATGAAGCTGTTTTCGTAGAAAAAAACTCTATGTTTCCTTTTGATTCATGTAATGATGTTATGTTGTGGCATCGTAGGCTAGGCCATCCAAATTTTATTTATCTTCAGAAGTTGTTGCCAAACTTATTTATTAATAAAAGTCCAAGTTTGTTTTCTTGTGATATTTGTCAACTTGCCAAGCATACTCGTGCTCATTATCCTTCTAAAGTTCACCATGACTCTTCCCCATTTTCCTTAATTCATAGCGACATATGGGGTCCAGCCCGTGTTAAAAATATTTCAGGTACTCGATGGTTCATTACCTTCATTGATGACCATTCTCGAGTTTGTTGGGTGTATCTTCTAAAGGATAAGTCCGATGCTGCATCCGTGTTTAAAAAATTTCATGCCATGGTTCAAACCCAATTCCAAGTTGCTATACAAATTCTTCGTACAGATAATGGCAAAGAGTATTTTAACTCTATTCTTGGAGAATATCTTTCCCAACATGGCATCCTTCACCAAAGCTCGTGTCCTGACACACCCCAACAAAACGGAGTTGCGGAAAGAAAAAACCGACATCTCCTTGAAGTTGCTCGGGCTCTTATGTTTACCACGAGTGTTCCTAAATATCTTTGGGGAGAGGCAGTTCTCACTGCCTCGTATCTGATAAATCGAATGCCATCTCGCATTCTGAAATTTCAGTCTCCTCTTTCTAGTCTTGTTCGTATCTTCCCTTCCTTCCGAGGTGTCTCCTCCTTACCTCTCAAGTTATTTGGTTGTGTTGTATTTGTCCATATTCCCTCCCATCAACGGTCTAAGCTTGATCCTAAGTCTCTCCAGTGTGTCTTTATTGGTTATTCTCCTACTCAACGTGGCTATAAGTGTTATTCACCCTCTCTTCGTAAGGTCTTTGTCTCTATGGATGTCACTTTTTCTGAGAATGACCCTTTCTTCCCCTCGACTTCTCTTCAGGGGGAGTCTATAGGAGTAGATGAAGATCAGTCATGGGAACCTATTAATGCCACAGTATTACCTCTACTTTTAGAAACAGGGGGAGCTACAGAATCCTCACCATCAGGAGCCTCCTCAAAATGGGGACAAGTCTATAGCAGGCGAAAGCCTCCTCAAAGTGTGAATAACCCAGAGCCTCTACACTGCCAGGATTCTGAACCATGTTCTAGTTCCAGCACCCCAATACTTGAGTGTCATGGTGAAAATGATCTACACTTGCCCATTGCTCTCAGAAAAGGTACTCGATCTGTACTACTCATCCTATTTCTAATCATATTTCATATGGAAAGTTGTCCCCAGGGTTTCGTGCTTTCAATACTATGTTGGATAGTACAAAGATACCGAGAAATATACATGAGGCTCTCAATGATAAAAAATGGAGGGATGCTGTCTTTGAAGAAATGAATGCTTTAGAAAGAAATGGAACTTGGGAGATAGTGACCCTACCCAAAGGAAAAAAGGCAGTAGGATGCAAATGGGTGTTTACAATAAAATTCAATGCAGATAATAGCATCAACAGATACAAGGCAAGATTGGTTGCAAAGGGTTTCACTCAGACTCATGGGATAGATTATCATGAGACTTTTGCTCCGGTTGCTAAAGTCAATACCATCCGAGTTCTCTTATCTCTTGCTGCCAATCTAGATTGGCCTCTGCAACAGTTAGATGTGAAGAATGCATTCCTAAATGGTGACTTACATGAAGAAGTCTATATGGATCCTCCACCTGGTTTTGAAAAGGGAAATGGATCAGTGTGTAAACTAAAAAAGTCTCTATATGGATTGAAACAGTCTCCCAGAGAATGGTTCGACAAATTCACACAAGCAGTCAAAAGAAGAGGCTTCATTCAAGCACAGACTGATCATACTCTCTTCCACAAACACTCTAAGGATGGTAAAATTGCTATTCTTATTGTATATGTAGATGATATAATTCTTACAGGTGATGATATTGAGGAATTGAACACCTTGAAGAAATTTCTAGCAGCTCAATTTGAACTCAAAGACCTTGGCACTCTCAAATATTTCCTTGGTATGGAAGTTGCTAGGAGCAAAACAGGTATCACTTTAACACAAAAGAAATATGTTCTAGATCTTTTGTTGGAAACAGGAATGTTAGGGTGTAAACCTGCTGAGACACCTGTGGAACCTAATACCAAGTTAGGTATTGAAGATGGAAATGAGGTGGATAAAGAACAATATCAGCGATTGGTTGGTAAACTAATCTACTTATCTCATACGCGTCCTGACATTGCCTTTGCGGTGAGTATGATTAGTCAATTCATGCACTCACCCAAGGAGAAGCATCTTAGTGCAGTCTATAGGGTGCTTAGATACCTCAAGAATACTCCAGGAAGAGGATTATTCTTTAAAAAGGGGTATAAAAGGACAATTGAAATCTACACTGATGCAGATTGGGCAGGCTCATCAGTAGACAGAAGATCTACCTCAGGCTATTGCACCTATGTGTGGGGAAATCTTGTTACTTGGAGAAGCAAAAAGCAAACAGTGGTTGCAAGAAGTAGTGCTGAAGCAGAATTTCGAGCTTTAGCTCATGGAGTTTGTGAAGGAATCTGGTTGAGAAGACTTCTTCAAGAGTTGAAGATTTCATATTCCCTACCAATAAAACTATATTGTGACAACAAGGCAGCTGTTAGCATTGCTCAAAATCCTGTGCATCATGATCGAACAAAGCACGTGGAAGTTGATCGTCACTTCATCAAAGAAAAATTAGATGATGGAAGTGTGCATTTGATATATGTTCCAACCAAAGAGCAAACGGCAGATGTCCTTACCAAGGGCCTACACCGTCCAGCATTCGAAGACTTGATTGGCAAGTTGGGAATGATCAATATTTACCTCCCAACTTGAGGGGGAGTGTAGAAAATTAGAATTCAAACATGTTTCCGTTTTTATTTCCTATTAATTAGGATTGATTATGATTGATTAGGATTGATTATGATTGATTAGGATTAATTGTGATTGATTAGAATTGATTGTGATTAGGATTGTGATAGGATTGATTAGTCATCGCTTAGTCATTCTTAGCGATTCTTTCTTGTATAAATACTTACTCATGTAATTTATTCAATATCAATATACAAAAACTTCTTTTCAATATTTATATTACTGGAATTGAGGATTTTCTGCTCTAGTCTCCTTCATATATGATGATAAACCTGCCAGTTTAAGATTTTAGGTCTTGAAGTTGATAATAATTTGCTTCTTTATCAGGATTGTACAAAGGTTCTTCGGAAGAGATTCCCAGAGAGTAAAAGAGTTGGTAAGTTCGTACTTTCTAATAATCTATGTCTTTCCATGTTTTGGATTTTAGTTAGTTAAGTGAATAGCACTATCTACACAACTGCCATTTGACTGACTTTACACGTGACTCCATATGTAAAAGGTAAAAAAAAATTAAGTGGCACCACCTGAACTCAGATAGAGCTCACTTGTACTGTTCTGCTTAGTTGCAAATGCAACAGTTCTGTAGTAGCATTACTCTGGCTAAATTAGTCTTATTTGGTGACATATGCCTTTTAATTGCACCCTTGATGCATCTATGCTTCCTATGCTCCTATCTATGAGTCACTGCTGTGCTAGGAAACAATTTCTTTTGACACTGCAATGTTTGATCTGGCAGCACTATTTTTCTGACTTGACCCCTTACATTTAATACTTCTAGAGTTACGTGATAATTTTTCCAACACATGCTAACTGCAATGTTTTCTTGTCCCAAAACACAAGCAATTGCATGCCCTGCCCTGATTGTCATTGCCCAGTTCTGGTTCTCTTGGAGCAAACTTAGATTAGGGGATGACTAACTTGGATGATTTGCATTTCATTATTTCAAGAGGGATGTTATGTAAACACATTCGTAAGTAGTTATCCAAATAAGTTTGTCTGTCCATATGCATGTTCTTGGTTCCCCTAGAAAAAAATTGATTTGTGGTAACTTATTATTACAGGCAAGCTGGAGGCTATGTTGCTTGAAGCAAAAGGGTCCTGGGAATTAGCAGAAAAGGCTTACACAAGCCTTTTGGAGGATAATCCTCTTGATCAAGTAAACTCGCTTAACCTTATGGGGAAACAAAAAAAAGAGGGAGGGGGGACAGTCAGTTAGTTGCTCAGTTACTCTATGTGATGAAACAAAAATCTTATAATAGTAACTTCTTCTTTGTCATGTTGTGTCACTTCAATTTGATGCATTATGTTCCTTCAGTTTTACCCCAAGTTTGGTTAGTTTGCTTGGGTAAAGAAAACCAAAAGCTTAAGTTATTTTCTTTTTGGCTCTGTTGTGCAGACCATCCATAAGAGGCGGGTGGCTATGGCAAAGGCACAAGGCAACATTTCTGGGGCTATTGAATGGCTTAATAAATATCTTGAAATGTGAGGCAGCTGTTAAAGTTGCTTTTTTCCCTTCCAAAATTAAAGATGAAAAGGAAAATGTTGTTTCTGGCTTACGTCAGAAAGAAGAACATGTATCTGATCTCTTTTTCTCATTTTAACAGATTCATGGCAGATCATGATGCATGGAGAGAACTTGCCGAAATATATGTCTCCCTGCAAATGTAAGATTTTTATTATATTGTTTCTCTTCTCTGAAAAAGTTATTATAGGAATTTATTCATGTTGCTAGTTATTTAGCCGCATTTGTTTATTTTTTGCTATCTGTCTTCCTGTTAGGTATAAACAAGCAGCATTTTGCTACGAGGAGTTGTTATTATCTCAACCTACTGTTCCACTACACCACTTAGGCTATGCTAATGTAAGTAACTTCTTTATGAACTGTGATTAATTTATTATAATCAAATCAAATGAAATCTGTCTCCCTCTCTCTTGTTTCTTTGCCCCTGATAACAGCACGGCACAGAACATTGCATGCTAGGGGTGTATGTATGGGAGTTAACGAGCAAGGGTCTTACTTTTATTGCACTAGAACATTATATTGACTCATGGTATTGCCAGGTACTTTATACACTTGGTGGATTAGAAAATGTCCAGACTGCCAAGAAATACTATGCATCTGCTATTGACTTGACCGGAGGCAAGAATACTAGAGCACTCTTTGGTGTATGCTTGGTGAGCTCTTTCTCCCTATCTTCCGTCTGAGTGTTTGTTTATGTGGTCCTGCAAGTTCATGTGTCCCTATGTTACAAAGACCACAGATGATATACTATATACTTCAACATCAGAACTATACCCACATTCTTGCATCTCCTGCCAGACTCTTAACAATGTTCCACATTTTCCAAACTTAGAAAGACGCATGATCAGTATCTTGTAAGCATCCATTGAGATCAAACACCCTAATTTTCTTGTCTTCTTGTAAATCATCAAAGCAGCATATGGTGGACCATAGCTACATAAATGTTTGATGAATGAAGTTATAGTCCCCGTAGAAGGCACAACTCCTTGCCTTAACATCTCATCAAACATCAAACATGAGAAAAGTAGTAATTATTCTAGTATATGTATCAAGATTAGGTTTACAATTATCACTCAACATCCCATTAAATACTCCATCTATTCATCAAAATCTCCAACTGATACGAAATTGAAAATCATATCCCATTATAATGAGATATGATTCAGAAGATGGTTGAACCTAGGTTTTAGTGGTTTCAATGAAAGTCATCTTTTAGTTCTGCTTTTGTAGATTTCAGATTTTCCTTCGTAGATGGTTGATTTTTTTCTTAACAACTACGGATTTTTGGATTCTCCTTTTCAAAACTATTCATTTATGTGCCTTAAAATTGAGTTTTGCTCCTCTCCAGTGCACCTCTGCTATTGCACAGATTACAAAAGGGAAGAGCAAGGAAGACAGAGAAGGATCACAAGTACAATCTCTGGCAGCCAAAGTATTGGAGAAAGATTACAAGCAGAGAGCTCCTGACAAGCTTCCTCAACTTACAACTGCCTTAAAGAGTTTAACGTTGTCATCATGATGCTGCATTTCCTTAAGACTTTTGTTATTTAGCCACTTTTTGACATTTTCTTAGATTGTTGCCAGCTTGAATCGACATATTTAGAATTCCCGTCATTTTCTTCTTAATATTAAAATGAAAATTCATATTGTTCTGCATTTTACCTTCGGTAGTGAGTATTTATTTAGAGACATGTAAAGTTTCGATTGCCCCGTGGATCTAAAAATGTTGTCAGAACTTTCCTCATGCATAAGATCGGGTATAATTTGTTTTGACATCCTTTTACTTTTTTTGTGTGGCTATACACATTAAGTTAAAAGATTTTTGTTTCTTTTTAATATTTTTCTTTTGGGTTTCATTTAACATAAATAGTAACATTATGCTTTAAAGATGCGCCCCGTCGTTCTGTGAATGTATGCCGGTCATGGGGTTTGGGAGAGCCTTTTCTCTTTTCTTGAAATGAAATGATGTGGATTGGGGCTGCAAAGTTTGCTCTGTCTTCTCTTTCTTTGACATTGCTGAATGTCACATCCCGTTGAACCCTGTTTTTAACATCTTTCAACGCGTGCTGACTTTGTCTGGTCTCCTCTTGAATGTCTCTTTCCCCTTTTATTCCCCTTGTTTGCAACTGTCTTGGTTGAATGAGTGTAGCATTTTTAGGGAAAATATTTTCATTATTCTCGTTTTAGCACATCACTCCTAATGTCGATAAAATTACAAACTTAATTGCACTTATTCTACTTATTTTTATACTTATTAATGTCATCTAAATTTTATTTTTATTACCAACAAAGTCTAGTACAGTTGGTAGATAGTTGGACTTCTTAAGCATGCTGACAGGAGTTCAATTCTTGACCGTGTTATATGGAGAAGGCTTTGTTAAGAGAGGTTTATCCACTTAATGTGATCTTCCGCCTCAAAAGGATTAGTCTTCGAGTGTCGGCCGGAGAATATATTGAGAAACCAATAAAATTTTTTACTTTTATCTAGTTTCACTAAAGGAGTATCAGAGTATATATTCCCGTAATGAGATATGCTCAATTTTAGGAAACGCAAGAACCACGAGAGGCCTAATCAAATTCGAGGTGTCGCCTACGAGTTTGAAAATTGTCAGACGTGCGGGCTGTAACAATGACCAAGCAGCCAAATTGTTTGAGACTATTATTAGGGATTTTTTTTTTTAATGCTAGGAAAGTACCGAATTCGATATTTTTATTTTTTTTAAATGGGAAATTTTTTATCCGATTATTCCAACACTTTACCTTTTTTTTCCTCTGATCCCCACTTTTTTTCATTTTTAGGAGGGATGTATCTACTAGGAGCGCCCAAAATTTGTCCTATTATTAGGCTGGCTGAGCTTGCATTGTAGCTTACGGCTCTTGGCATTCGATGCCCTTGAATGATAATATCTTAATTTGTTAACGTGTTCGCCAGCTCAACGTTAGTTGATATTGGAGAGATTCTTGTGCGGGCCTACTTCCTAAATCATAAAGTTGCTCTTGAGGTCAACCCACTGACAATTTTTTTTTTTTTTTAATATTTCAATCGATTCATTGCTTCGCAACTAATTTGATTTGAGGCGAGTCTAAGATTAAGACTTTAAATTCCTCCCAAAAATAGTACTGAGGAAATTCAAACACATATTCTCACCCCACCTGATCAGCTCCAACTACCACCATTTGGTGTCAAATTCTATTTTCTGTACATAAAATGGAGGTTAGTACCAAATAACTAAATTATACGGCTATGACCATATTTATTGATACAAATCGATTCCTTTGACTTAGGATCATTAATGGGCAGGATATATATATATATATATTCTATTTTTACTTATCACTTCAACGAGAGACTGAATTATTTCTCGAATGATTCTTAAGACGAAATACATTTTTTAGTAATTAGATAAATTCCTTGTGTTAGACTAGACAAGGGTGTAAATGAAACGGGCTAAGATTAGATTTTGACATAAATAGATAAAATCATGTAAAATATTATGATATTGTCTGTATTTAAAACTAAAGAACCTAGCTTAGACCTATTTAACACTATCAAATCTTAAAGACTTGTCAATAATTAGAAAAAATATATATTTAATAATAAAAAACCTAGAGGAGACCTATTTAATCCTATCAAATATTAAATACCTATTAAGAATTAGAAAAATATGACAATATTATATAGGATAATTTGTAAGTTTATAGGCCAAGCCTTGTAAAAATAAGTTTATTTTCTATTTTTTAAATAATTTCTTTAAAAAAATAAAATTGCTTTATTTTATTAACTATATTAGGTTTGGCATGACGTGACATAGACAAGGCCGTAGGCCTTTGATAAATTGTCTGACCCACTTATATTCTTACAAATTCATATATCAAATTATCAACAACCAATATTTAAAGGGAAAAAAAATGATGACATTACTATTCTAATTTTTTTTATATGATTATTAATAATCTTTTTAGATTATTGTTATACAAACTTTATGTTTAATTCAAATTAAAGATCATGTAATGTTATTCTCGCATGGTCGCATAAAAAAAATCAAAAATAACATAACTCTCATATCAGTAATTTATTTTTTTCTGTTTTTTTTTTTCTCTCCAGTAATGGGGTACATTCAATTTTCAACTTTGTGAAACCTTATGATTTATGATCAAATATAGGGTTGAAGACTTCTCAAAAAAAATTTCTCCTATATACAAAAAAAAATATATGGGTCCCATTGAAAAAATAAAAGAAAAAAAAATCAGTGGAACCTACGTGTTTGTTGTATGTGTAGGAAAAGAAATTCTTTTATATAATATGAGAATTCTTTGATCCAAATGTCATAATTTTATTTTATTTATCACAGTAGTTGTGACACTAATATCGTCCTTGTACCCCAAATGTTCTCAACCGAAGACTCAATTTAGTGATTTTGAATTAATAATTTTGATAATATTTTAATCTATCAAATAATTTTTTAGTCACGTTCTTGAGAAATTCACTTTCTCATCATATTCTTAAGAAGAAAGTTATATTTATAACTTATTTTTATTTATAACTTCTTACAATCATATCTTAATTATTGATTTTCGTCAATCAACAATTATTATTTATTATGAATTAATAATTAATTAATAAATTTAATTTATTAAAATAATAACCGTTGATTGACGAAAATCAACAATTAAGATATAATTATAAGAGATTGTAAATAAAAATAAATTATAAATATAATCTTCTTCTCCTCTTAATAATCATAATTTCCGGGCACAAAATTTTTTCATCTATCAAAAGCACCTTAAATTTTCCGTCCCTAAACGGGTTACTGCTTTAGTGAAGCAATGCCACAAACTCAACTTATACTTGACCATATATAGTTGAAAAGCCGTACGACACCGAAGGCATGGTGAGTTTGTCGGAAACGCTAAGGACGCAACGAGGACATTTTGACACATACGGGGCTTGAAGTACTAAAAGTAAGTTGAACACGTTCACATGCATTATTCAGGTTCAAAAGTGTTACCCGCGTACACGTACAAATTGCAGCTTTTTGTGGTCTCCCGTCCAAACAAATCTTCTCCTACTTAAAAAGTAAAAAAATTTGAAGAGAAAAATATTTTTTTAAAAACAAGTGTCATCTTTTGAATTGAAGATGCATGATACATTCGTCAAAAAAATTAATTTATTATTTTTTAATAAAAAATTATGAATATAGAGTCGTTTCGAAAATAATTATGAAAATATAACATTTAAATACGTCCACATGAGACGTGTTTCAATGGAGAGAGACATGGCCATGTGAGGCGTGACCTACTTGGAAAACACGCCCAAGATAAGCGTGACCAGGAGAGAGACACGCCCAACAGGGGCGTGACCTCCCTGGTCTATAAAGACCTCATTTTTCACCTTTTTCTCATTTCATCATTCACTTCCTCTCTCTAAACCACTCCTCCAACTTCTCTCTATATTTCTTCTGGAGTATTTTGTGCAGCGAAGCTCTGTCTCTCTCATGTAAGTCCTTATTTATTATTTATATTTTTTATTAATATCAATAAATATATGATAGTTATTAGTGACTTAGATTATTGTTAGTAGGTTAGAAAAATATTAGTGACCTATATAAGATAATGATTAGTGAATTAGGAATTAGATAGGACAGACAAATTAGTTAGTTACTTATAAATTGGTATATCCTGGTGCTAGGAATTAGTTACACACTTAGGAATTAGTAAGAGACTTATAAATTAGTTAGAGACAATTAATAATTTTATATGAATGACACTTGCAAACATATTGACCTTTCAATTAACTACATTGTAATTAAAGTTTGTAAAACAATAATAGAGTAGGCAATATTAATTTAAATTTATTTTAAAATATTTAATCTATTTAAATATAAATTACAATAATGTAATGTTCTTTAATTTAGTTTTATTGATGTTAATGTAATTGAAATTAATATAACTTAATTCAATTCAATTAAATGCTATTTAAAAACGTGCAATTAAATCTCATTTAGTGTAATTTAATATAATATCATTAGTAATTTGTGTATAATTTTTCATTTGTACTAGTATTGTATTATTGCCCATTCGTCTTCGTCAGAGTCGCTGCGCTCTGGATCCGATGGTGATACTGAGTCATCTGATCCTTGTATGCATGTACTTCCTGGACCATATAGGTGGGAGGTACTTCGTAATAGGACACAACGCACTCACGTTTCACAGCTTGTGTGGAATGAGGATAAGGTAAGGGAGTTAAAGACGAGGCGCGGGAAACTTCAGGGGGGACCCCATCATGATGATATATAAGACATCGTCGCTGACTATCTGACACAGGCTGGTTTCATTCACGTGGCCCGTACGAGTCATATTCCGGTATGTAATTTTTAAATTACTTAATGAAATTACCATTACTGAACTTTCTATAATTGTTGTTTTTCTTTCAGATCGATACCGCCCTGATCAGTGCTTTGGTTGAACGGTGGAGACCAGAGACACATACGTTTCACATGACGCAAGGAGAGATGAAAATCACATTACAGGACGTGGCTGGTATACTTGGTTTGCCTACTAACGGGCAGGCAGTTACCGGACCTACAGCGTTGGATTGGACCGCTGTGTGTCAGCATGTTTTTAGGACTGCCCCTGTTGCAGGCACAGACATTCACGAT